TATATTTAAATAATATGATATTAACATACAAATGAAACATTTCATATATATGAATATATAACATTGACATAAATTTATTAATTTACTTGATGATGTACATTCAACAATAAATAAACGTTTTTAATGAACTATGTGCAAATTTTATGGATGAATACATTTGCTCTAAACTAAAAATAAACTTATCTCATAAATTTATTTATTTATCAGCTTATTACAATATAAAAACAAAACTTTTTTATTTATTCTATTTAGAAATTTTCAAATATTCGCTTCGTATAGAACAAAAAAAAGATAATAAAAGACCGAAAATATGATTGGTTGTCATCGATTTGAATCATAGAGATGGATCATAGATGGCTAACTAAACCTTTCGGTTTTGTTTCGGTTTTCGGTTACATTTTTTATCTTTCATTATTATCCAAAAAAAAACTGATCATAGAAAATAAAAAATGATTGTCAAAACTTTGAATAACTATGAGACAGTTTTTGCCAATAAATCAGTTTTATGAGACAAACTACAGGTTTCGAATGATAGAATTAATCGATTTCTTTGAACATTTTTCGATTATTAATTAAAAACAAAATAAAAATTTTATTTTATGAGAATTCAAAACGTTTGTTCACATGAATAACCCTGATTTCAAAGAGAAACTTTTTAAACTCATGCTTATCATATGAAATGATCTATAAACGGACGTCCCGGTAAAGGGGGATGGAGTGAAGTCCGTCAAAACCGAACAAATCTGGACAGGGTGAGGAAGAGCCAAACTCTTCTGGACGTTCAGAAACTCAACATGAATATTTTCCTTTTCTCACATAACTTTCGACAAAATTTTGAAGATTAGATTGCTTTGAACAGCATTTTTAAACAGGAAATGAATTAAATCAATCAATTGAACATGAATATGATGTTGAACTAATCGAAGATTATGCCAAATGAGTGGATGGTTATTTTTTGGAGCAGTTATATAAACGTTGTTAGTTTTTCGAGTGTCATTAGTATTGAATTTTATGTTTTTTTTTTTACAATTTTCTGCTCATTAAAATACATTATATTGAAAAAAGTAAAACTTTGCAATAGATTAGTTGTTTGTTTGTTGTTTATGAAATGTGAGTTTTGTCTTGTTATATTCATTTATTTAATGAACTTTTATATAATAAAAAAGGTGTACATTTGAACAAGTACACTTTTGCTGAAAGAGTTTTTTATATTGGACATGCAGAAAGAAGAGAGGAGGTCCTCGAATCTGGACGGGGTGGAGTCAAACAATGTGATTTTTACCTGAACGTCCTCTCTATAGATGATCCTTATGCAATTCAACATTTAACAACCATTATTTTACTATCTCAATCTGTCATTATGTTCCAAAAAGCTCTTTCAAAATGAGACTAATTCAACAAGAACTATTTTTAGCTTCATATTGAGAACATTTATTATTAAGTTTTCTACTATAAATAGATCTTATTTTGACTGAGACCAACAAAGGTTTGTTTCGATTTTGTACTTTCAAATAAAATTTACAATAAAAATATCATTTAGTAACTATAACGAATAATGAAGACACAGAAAAAGAAACTAATATACGAGCTTAGTTATACAATTGGAATTTTAAGAAGAAATTTTGCTGCTTGAGTGTGCGAGTATAAATGTGAATGTGGGTCTCCTCTAAATCCAAACCAACATCTGCAGCCGCATCCATACTCACACTTGGATATCGCACACTCTCAAGTCTGGTACGGATAATAGTGGTGAAATTTTGGTAAAAAATTTTTTACACAAGTCATACATAATACATTATCATCAAACAAAGAGAAATGTTTATGGATGACGGACGATACTTGATAATTATTGTACTTCTATTTATATCATTAAGATAATCACCACAGTGGTTGCATGTTGTTATCATTTTCTTCTCAACATTGTTTTTCAATTTTGATAATCGCCTCTTGAGTAAGGAAAACTTTGATGTTAAGATAAAATGAATTTTATTCAAACAATTTCAATTATTTTATCATTTTTTTTTTGTTTAAATGTTTTTCTTAAATGCTATATTATCTTCCTATATTTGGACATCATCTGCAACATACTTACGAAAAACTGATAATATATTTTGGTTGTTTAAATTACTTAAATTTTTGATAGTACCTTATGTGTTTTTAATTCCAAAAATATGTGGAATTTGTTTTGGAAGAATATTCAATGATATTTTAAATGAAAGAACAGTTAGAGAAAATAACATCAAATTCGAAGAATTGCTTATTAATATTAGTAACGAAAAAGATTAATGTTTTCACAGTGTTATAAGTTCTACAATATTTGATGAACTACAATTTTTGGTAAAGAAATAATAATATCAATTAAAACAAGAGAAAATCTTGAAAGATATACAGACTGCATTGAATTGTGTATCAATTGTTAATTTAATTGTTATATTCATTATATATAGTGAATCAAAGTTACTTATTTTCAGCTCATTTATTACTTCATTATACTAATTTGGATCGATTTATTTCATTAATCGAATGCGTATGGTTTACTTTTAATGTTTAGTTTTAATTACATGTATATTTGTATTGATCATGTCAATCTACATTATAATAATCGACATTCTAGAATTATGCCAGAGATTCTCAAAAACACACATAGATTATAATATGCATCTTTATGATTTTTTCATTGTATTACTGTTATTATATTTTCATCATCATATCCAATACAAAAACGATAAAAAACAAATAGATTTTATTTATTACAAGATGTGTTCGAAAATAAATCCATTAGAGCAAACTCCAATATTCAGCACTAGTAGCTACCTAGTGTTTCATATTTTAATCACACTGGAATAGTGCTAACAATTTTTTCAAAACATTTTACATAATTTATTACTATTATAATGTCAGTTTACTCTGATGTACTAATGATAAGTACATCGAATATAGTTGATTTTCGTGGAATAGCGAGTAATTATTGAAGGGTGTAGAACTAATTTGAACCTAGATCAAATTTATTGAATTAAATGTTTAAAATTGTGAGGATTAAACAACAACATACATTTAATGCAGGTTCTTCCTGCGATCGATTTTTTTGTGTATTACTATGTCTATCTATTTTCGAGTGAGTAAAAAGAAGACTCACATCCAGACGTACACACCCACACTCAAAACGTCGGAAAAATACTGCTTAGAAGTATCACTACTGGCTCAATAAAGAACTACGGCTTTTCACCAGTTATCGAAAACCATATATTTGTTCTACTGGTCAAGAGTAAACGAAACATCTATTTTTTCTAAGTTTCTCGATTAGTCGTCCACATTACATTTATAAGTGGACAAAATCCGTAAATGTGAATGGGCAACACGTTGAACATTTGCAAAAATAATGTAGTCGTGATATTATGATTAAACTAATAATATACGTGTGAATTGAAAAATAAATCGTTAACGCATAAAGTGACTGTTGGAACACTCTGTATTTCAAAGCATTATTTTTCAACATTTTTCTTATGAGTATGAACTATGAATACTCCTTTATTAGTAGTAAAAAAAAAGTTGCCCCACTTTGTCAAAAGATAATCGAGAAATCCAAGATTTTTGGAATACCCTCTCAAGTAGAAAAATCTTACAAAGAT